TTTTTTTTTTTTTTTGCTTACGTATGAATAGTATTCCACGGAGATTTGAATAATTATGCATTTGTGTGAAACTTTGTATGAAACACCGAGACGTTTTGAAATTTTGAATATTGGAAATTGTTCCAGCTTCCCGTTTCGAACCGTCACGAGCGAAAGAAAGACCTCTCGGTCGGATAAATTTTTTATTCGAAAGCGACATTTAAAAACAAAAAAAAAAAAAAGTTGCAACCATTACAACAATACGTTTATTCCCCGCACTGTTTCGTGCGAGTATTAGCTAAAATTCGTTTTCACCCTCTGCAATATATAACACGAACAGTTCTCCCCATCAAGGAAACTTTTGTACACCATCATAAACCAGAGAGGAACGGATCCTCGGAACAATACAATTTCATCTTCCATCGCTGCTCTCTTACACACGCGCGTTAAATACAACATCAAACGAATGAAAGGAGCTTCTGCATGACCCAATTCCCTCTCAATCTTAATACCTCATTTCTGCGTTAATTTATTCTTCAAAACGATTACCACGTTGGAAAGGGAACGAAGCCGGGACAGAAAGGCGAAAAAAGAAAAGAAAAAGAGAGAGAAAGAAGAAAAACGCGGAAGGAGAGGAGAAGAAAAGGGAGAGAGACAGAGAGTATAATTGAAAGGTAATCTTGATTTTAATACCGAGCTCTCTGCAAGGTGTCTCTTGAACCAACATGTTTCGTCAAGTTATCCTTTGATCGCATTATCGCAAAGCTGATATAGGAAGGAGATCCGCGAGTGGAGATCCATATTGCGAGCCTGGTACACGCAGAGTTCACACACAGATAGTCGATGTAAAGTGCACGGGTGAAAAGCCTTCCTACCGGTTGTTATTCTTATCTCGAACACCGGCTGCCACCACATTTTGCCGAAGGCTCGCTAATTTAATTTTACACTGACAGCCTTTGCCGGCCCGTTCCTATAGCTATCTGTTCGCCAGCCTGTTCTGCGTGATCCGCCGCCGGCCAAATTGATATTTAGACGGCGTGTTCTGGTAATTACAGCGGCGAAACATCGCGGCGGCAAGCTCCAACTGTGGCGGCCACGACTTTTCGTTATTTTTTTCCCATCTCACCCACTGGTAATATCTTTATCGTGATTGTTCCGCTCTTGTGTTTTCGCTCTGTCTTTCGCTTCGTTTTTTTTTCCCTCTTTTTTTCTTTTTTTTTTTTTTTTAATCATTTTATTTCGAAGGGAACTATCAAATTCAATTAACGTTGGAATCGATGGAAAATGTTCGATATACCGGGGCAGCGATTGTGTTTCTCACTGTGCAATCCGAA